TTTTAGGTTCATATATTTAGATTAAGTTATTTTTAGTGTATGTATTATTCTTTCCTTATTCAAAGCTTGTTCAAAAATGATTTTGATGGTTGTACATAGAATTTTACGATTTTTTATAATAAATACTGTAACTTGCAAATGTTGCAATAATAGTGGAATGCAAATATTAATATGTAATTGCATTTGAAATTGAAGAAAATAATAAAACTTAATACAACTGTTTAGTTGCATCACAATATATGTCACAAACTAAAACTATCTTAAAAATATCTTTTAAGTATACATTATCAAAAACTGTTTGCGGCTCTTTTTACAATTTTCAAAATGCAATGCGGCTCTCGAAAACCCATGAGTTCGACACCACTGATCTATTCTAGACGATTCAAGCATTGCTTTGGGAAATTATATCACTTCAATTAAATTGAAATAATCTCGCTATATTAAATACAAAATCGTTGCTATCATAAAGGTAAACCAATTCAGCCACTCGAAATATATTGGCCTTCACAAAGCAATGGAGGCAAAATTGAGAGTTCATGAGCTATGAACATTTGTTCTTTTCTTTGTCTTGAACTTTCCATACTCCACAGCCCCTATTAATTTTTTTTAATTTTAATTACCATGTGATGGTCATACATATCTTTAACTTGTATTTTCTGTCATGATGTATTATCTCAATGTGCCAAACTATTAATTTGTGTGCATATTTTGCTTCCAGATGACATAAATGTATTGTCATGTTTATTACCTCAGCTTGGAGTATTGACAAGAAAAAGGTGCCAGTAAATTAGGTAAAAAATTTTCAACTCATTGTTATAATCAGAATTCACAATCAATAGGAATTAATAAACAGCCAACAATCAGTGAGAATTATATGCGAAATCCCTCAGAATAAATTTGTCTAAAATCGGAGGAAGGCAAAAAATATAGGTAGTTTCCATTCACACAAGCATTTCAAGAAGACTTGCTCGAGCCAAACTAAATGAGCATCGTCAGGTGATCGGTAAGGCTGCAAGTTGAATTCAGCCCTGCAACCTCCTGCATAGAAGATAATATTAATTAGTGGGCTATGAGCTAAATTCCTAAATTTAAACAAACCTAATCTACGATGCATTATGTACCAGCAATGTTACCTACGATTAACTGAATATGTAATATGTCTAATAAATTCACCTACAAAAGCAAGTTCGATAGGTGCAAACTTTTGTGTTATGGAATTGTATCGCAGCACAGTTTTGTTATGACACCCTCTTTAAATGAAATTTCAATGATTAAGCGCAAACATTAAAATTACTAACTTTGAACTTTGTCATTATCTGCAAAATGTTCCACACAAATCTTTCCGCTATCGCGTTTGTAATCTTCTCTGATAAAAAAAAACGTCTATGATGTCCAGAATTGCTCTTTACAGCTTGCCTGTTATTCCAGCTTTCCAAGTAAGCAAAACTTCTTAGATATAGAGATTATTTTGTTTCGTTACAGGCGCAAAAAGGCAGGTACTACACGTAAAAAAGACGCCGAGTAGCAAAAGCGAGCGGAAAACGGACGCGAAAGGCGACGAGAAATATGTGCATTGGAGCGTATCATGAAATACAATGTTTTGCCTGTAGTCTTATGGAGTGACGTCAGAGTTGCCTATCATGTTGTTTAATGTCATTGTTAGGAGTTAGCGGTGTGAACTAATGTTACAATAAAATGAGTGGTAATATTTATATTCAGTTATTTATATCATTTGGTACATATTGCTAATGACATTTTTATTTGCTTCCAATACAGATTTGTTGCAATAGAAAAGTGGGAAGCGTGAGTTAATACACATTTATGGCGCGGCGGTGTGGCTCAACTGGCGAAGCGTTAGGAATACGCTCGCCACCGCACCTCTAATTACTCTGCGAGGGTTCGCAGGTTCGAATCCCATGCAGGGATGGTTATGTGCGAGAGGATTGCTGGACTACTCGCCGTCGTTGGGTGGTTCACGTAACCGCTGGTCGGTTACGGCTTCCTCCACCACCAAGTCCATGCTTCCGAAAACAAACAATACAGTAAAACTAATCCCATACCCGACTTGGAATAGTAACCGGACGAGAGGCCGTGGTTCGCCATATGGACAAGCCGTCTTATCGGCTTTCCTCTCCCCGGGATAAATATGTAAATCCTATTCTATCCTATTTAATAGCGACCCGAAGTTACAATAGTTAGTAGACTACTAAGAAAGGTACCGGTAGGATATGACACATCAGATTAATAAAAAAACGGCTCACCTGACATTCTTCGTGATGGCAATGAACGTTTACATTACTTCTAAGGCAGTCGAAAGAATCATTAAGTATCCATAAAGTCTCACTACCACAAGCGGATTTCAATAATACATTACGAGGAAACCACGACCTGTCAGCTCATACAATTTTCATCGGACTGGGAGCAGAAGTAGTTTAGGTTGTCAGTTATTTACCTTGATGTCGAAAGCTTTCAGTTAGTCATCATAATCATACGATTCAGATTATATTCTAAAACTAAAAACATGGAATCCATGCTATTTGCTAAGTTTTTAAAATAGTTTGCTATTACCAATTTGTTTTGCCAATAAACATAAGAACACAATATAAAGTGAAGTATCGTACTAATGATATGTCAGATTAAAATTAATCATTTTCTCGTTCCCTATATTTAAACAAGCTTAATGTTGACCAGTACATATATAATTGGTACTCCCGAAGTATGAGAACCAAGGTGGTGAACACTGAAAGATGGACACTGGAACGTAGCATGTGTACCGGGTTAGGCCATAAGTTCAGATACAAAGACTACGGGAGTCACTTGGCTAATCCCCGAACTCGTAAAAGAACAACAATAAGGGAAATTGGAATAAAATGATGGCCGAACCTGGTACACATACTACGTTCCGGTGTCCGCCATCTTGATTCACATACTTCGGGAGCACCAAATAATCACCAACTTGTGAGAATTACAAATGGTCATGCTTTATTTTTCCACCACCAACTTTCTGATACCTTTAGGTCAGGGTGATTCATGCTAGGTTGCTTATTGCCTCGTCGGTTCCCGTTTATCCTAACCCAACATGAGCTGAACGAAAAACGTAAACACATAATATGTGGTGGGGCAATAACAGGATACTCCCGGTGTTTACCACTGCAACTCTTCAACAACAACCGTCTGGGTATCACCGTGTGTAATTACCCGTGGTTTTGAGACGTTCGTCAGGTATGGCGTGTTAAGCTTATAATGTAACGTGTCTTCATAATGATTTGACATCACCAAAACGTAGAGTATATCAAAGTTATATATTGGTAGTGCTGTGGGTTTTTCATAACAGCGATCGTAATGGAGCCGATTTGTTAGAATCCAACCCGGATTAAGCAAAATCGTTGAGGAAAAACACAGTAGTTTAGTTTAGATTACTTTGCTAAAATATGTTTCTCGCGGAGCAGAGGCGAATATAGCCATGAAGACTGGAAAATATGGATATCGGTGGGGCATGACACACCTCAGTAGTAGAAAACACTATTGTCTTACTTTATCAGTGCTTACAGTGAAGATTGAAATTGCAACCCGTGCTTTGTCGATATCGTTACGTGTTTACAACTGCAGAAGGCGTGTTGTGGGCGTGTCTCCGCTTCCCGTAGAAGATCAAAAAGACCAATTAGAAGATCGGGTCAACGTCCGCCGGTTGCATCCAAACTACTGCAATACGCATGAACACACACAATTGTAAACAAAGGCCAGAAACGGTAGACTAGAAAAATTAATTTCGCTTGTCTGAACTTTCAACGACGCTAAGACAAAATTTATACACTCAGATCTGTGGTCCCCCATATTTGCCAGTTTTGAAGGATAATTCAGACGTTCACCGTTTTAGCAATTTCGCCTGTAATTCCTTACTTATGACTAGTCTGCGAAAGAAAAGGCTGGACATGCAATGCTCGCATCTAGTGAATGAGCCTAGTCATACGGCTCCATAATATAACAATACTTCACCTCATGATCTTACAGATTTTAGCATCAAGTCTGATCGTAAGATGCAATGGGTGTCAGTATTATTGCCATTTCTCAAAAAAAAAAAAAGCGATAACGATAGTACGACTGTATTTTTGTGGAGAGGGCTTTGGGTAATTTGATTTAGGCGATATTAAGTTGTTTGGGAACCGCTGTTCTAGATGGATGATATATATTTCTACGCGTTTTTTTGCATTTTCCTCTGAAAGGTAAGTTAAGCAACAACTATGAAAGTCACAAAATTCTAATTCACGATATGTTTATTTTTAACAATTTTATTCCTTAGTTAGGTCGTTCACGCCTCATCGATTGTTTTGTCGTAAACAGACAAGTCGGCATTCATGCTCGCAATCGACGCGAAAAAAATAGGCGAACTGGAACGAAGCTGAATTCGGTGGTGACGCGAGTTAAAGTTGGGATGGATGTATATGCATTTGTAAATACATGTTTCATTGTATGTGACATGGCAACTTCTACAAATGCGCATTTAGGAGTTTAATTATCTTAAAATTTCTTCACTTCTTGCAAATGTACAGCCGCAATTAGGCGATGCTTCAGAGGACGGTTTGCGGTCGTATTGCCTCCGAACACTACAGACAGCGCCCGATCAACGCAATTTATCAGAACAGCTCAGGGTTTCATAGAGCAGAGCAATAAAGATCAGAAAAAATCGTTTAAATCTGTGATGCAGAGTCACAGGTAGATTTTTGTTGAATCGGAACCAACTTGAAATAGTAATTACGAATACAACAGTAGAATAGCAGCCGCGTATTAACGAGTGAGTGTAGGAACGACTACGACATACTGATTTTATGAAAAATGGTTTAGGAACAGCAAACCCGCAGCCGCAATAATCCTTTGCATTACAAACAAAAGGATATAGAATGAATAATATAGAATATGTCTATAAACTAGAACGTAGATGATCTAATCAGGATATTTTGTACTAATTCAGCCCTTTAGTTTATGATACTATTATACATTAATTTAAACCGCGAGGAATACACGGTCGTTATAAGCAGAACACATGGCTGAAGGCGGGCAGCAAAACCAACAGCAACAACATAATGTATATCACATTAATATTGCTCTGAACGCTCAACAGAGTCAAAGGGACATAGAACAGTAAGTTGGCTATATGAATCCTTAACTAAGTTTGGGAAGTGATAAATGTATTCAAAAATTAACATTATGGTTGACTAAGATTTACATATTTATCTCCGGGAAGTGGAAACCTGATAAAATGGCTATATCATATCGCGAACTGCGACTTCTCGTGCGGTTATCATGCAGTCAGGGCTGGATTTAGACCATGACAGGCCCTAGCTAGGCTATTCCATTTGTGAGGCCCCTCCATATTTTAAACTCAGAATTTCTCTCTAAATAACATCACATGTCATTGCTTAAATGTTAAAAATATGAGTGCATTAAACTCTTCGTTATTTTCATTCTCCCCATTCATGGGTGCAAATTTTTAATTAAAAGAATAAAAATTTACTTAAGGCAGTTTTGCTTTTAATTTCTTTGATCAAACAACCGTTACAATAATTGTTTATTTACAAGGAGATAAGATAGTTACAGCCATCAAATCGAGTAAGACTAGGCTACAAAAAAAATTTTCTAGCTTTCGTCAAAGCAAAATCATGCGAAATTTCATCAAAATTTATCTGTCTTAATGCACAGAATGCTCAGTGCAAACAACCTTTCTTGAGACATTGTCGATCTCAGTTTATTTTTGATGCTTTTGAGCCTTGAGAAAGAGGGTTTCAAGGGTTTAACCTTGTCAAGTTTTTAAAAGAATTACAAACTTCGAAACCGAATTTCGAGGCCCTTGGACGTTGAGGCCCTAGGCTTCAGCCTGTCGAGCCTATTGATAAATCCAGCCCTGCATGCAGTACATGTCGGGTATACCAGGGCTTCCCAAACTAGGGGCCGCGGCCCTTGGAGGGGCCGCGGAACGAATTTTGAGGGCCGCAAAGAGAACACCAATTTTACACAATGTACTATATCTGTTGTACTTTTTTCAGACTCTTGATTCGAAATACAATTAATAAATAGTGTAAAATCAAACATTTTACGATTCCGAGTTAATACATCTTCATACCGTGTTTCCCCGAAAATAAGACATGAGAAATGAGGACTTATTTCGGGGGTATGTAGAGAATAGCGATATTTTTTAATATACACAATATGAATACCGGTTTTCATTTACTTATAAACAGCATTTACCTTTGACGCCACCGGTACCCACAAAAAATTCCAAGTTTCGCGTAGAAATAATTTAGAGCAGTGGTTCTCAACCTTTTATGACTTGTGGCCCCCTTTCGGAGGCTTTTAGCACTCATGGCCCCCACTTTAATATTCCAGAGGTATTTATAGGGTTATTTTCATTGATAGATTCCAAATCCCATTATGTTAAAACAATTTGCACAAAAAAGAGCGAAAACACCCTGCGAAATAACCTTGTTGAGCAGCAAACTAGGAAAAACTGAGATTTCTTTTGAAGTGAAAAGTGAATTTAGATTTCAGCCCATCCTTGTGGCCCCCCTCCAACTCCTCTGTGGCCCCCTTAGGGGGCCTAGGGCCCCCGGTTGAGAACCGCTGATTTGGAGAGACAAACCCGACAGCCAGTGTTCCCATGGATAAAATAATACAGCGAAATTTTTGACGAAATATCAGATTTCATGCGAAATTTAGAAATAAATAGAAGTAATAGCCTTCTGGCAAAAAAATCAATCTTTACTCACTGAAAATTTCAAAGCAGTTGGTCCAGTAGTCAAAGAGGAGAGCGATTTTTTCAAAAAAAAATGATGGAGACAAATAATAATAACAATAACAACAAAAATTTTGAAACGATCGTTATGTCCACTACGTGTCCAATAACTGCTACATATAGATTATTAACCATTTGAAAAGTAGAAAAGATTTCTTGCTATCGACTAGGTAAAAAAAAATTGGCTATCGACCAAGTCTTTTTTAAAGGGGAGCGCATATATTAAAATCATTTGCAAAATCCAGGCTTGGTCTTATTATCGGGGAAACATGGTAGAAGCGTCCCGCCTGCATAACAATGCATATTCTGATTGTAAAACCCGATTTGCGCCGGTATTTGCATAACAATGCCGGCTTTAATTGCTATGTGCGCCTCGAAACATGTCACATACTTTATTTATTTTAAATGTTTTATTGTTTCTCATTGTTGCAAATGATGAGTATATGAATCAAATTTATTTTACCGTTCTATGTTGTTTAATTTATGTAGGGTCTATTGTTACGTATCAGAAGAGGTACACCCTACATGAAATTTTGTAGGCTGCAGTTAATTCATTTGCTGAACCGAGTTTATCAAACTTGAGTGATTTTTCAACATTTCAAAGAAAAATCAGGCAGATTCAAGAAAGAAACTTTGGTACTCCTGTAGTATGTGAACCAAGATGGCGGACACCGGGACGTAGTATGTGTATCGTGTACCAGGTTAGGGTTCGCTCATAATTTCAGGTACAAACGTGAATCTCTTGGCTAGTCTCCAAACTCGTAATAGAACTAAAGTAAGGAAAATTGGAATGAAATTATGGTCTAACCCTAACCTGGTACACATACCACGTTCCGGTGTCCGCCATCTTAGTTCACATACTATGGGAGCGCCGAAGAGTTATCCCTAACCTTTGTTAATAAACCTCAAGACATAAAGTGCATATAATAACGATGACAAAATTGTGTTTTATTTTTTATCAGCATATTTTTTGTATAGGCGTGTTTTCCCTGATAATTTGGCGCCACGCAAACCGCTGCCTTATGGTAAGTTTGATCAATAAGAGTGAAAAATTCTGGATAAAGACCATGCCGTCGGCGACCAGACATCGTAATTCATCATTTAGGCCCCCATAATCGAACATTGAGCCACGGCTGGACTTGCTATGCAGCAAAAAGCATTCGCACCCATTAAACTGAATAATTGAGTAACGTTAATCTGAGTAAATATGTGCTTGTTTTTGTTATTGAGTACGCCTACTAAAAGTTCAGATTTAGCTGTGTCAATAAGATATCAAAAATGCATATTTCTAACTGTTTAGCATTATTAACGTGAATGGGGGCCGCGAAAATATATATTAAATATTATATTTAATATATTAAAAGGGGCCGCGAGCTCAAAAGTTTGGGAAGCCCTGGGGTATACGATCAGTTATTTGTTTGGGCAATCAGAGGTACGGCTGCGGGCGTATTCCGAACGCTTAGCACAATGCGCAATGTTCGCATTAAAATGTTTTTACCGGGGGTATCTATGCTAGTTTCTTTCCTGTCCTGCTCTCTGGTCTTCAAATGGCATTGTTGTTGTTGTTGTCCGTTCTGTGATAATTTGGTACTATGACCTCACGTTTAATTATACTATTTTCACCGATAAGTCGTTCTACGTAAATCTTAATAGTAAATCGACCAATGTGACCAAGTTATATTTCTCAAACAGTTCATAATAATCTAAATATATTACCATCACTATATTTGACATATAGCGAGAGATACATACTCTATAAATGCATTGCCTAATAATATGTAGGTAAGTATCACCAGCAAGTTTGGTTGAACTATCGGCTCATTACACTAAGTCAGTAAGTGATTATTCGATTAGCCATTGTAAGCAGCGGTAGAAGTTAGTTTGACACACCTCATTTATGTCGTGATATTTCATTCAGAGCAACTGAGAATGTCGGACAACAAGAGAATGTCGGACAACAAAACAATGTCGGACAACAAAACAATGTCGGACAACAAAACAATGTCGGACAACAACAGAATTTCGGACAACAACAGGATGCTCAAAATGTCGGACAACAACAGGATGCTCAGAATGTCGGACAACAACAGAATGTCGGACAACAACAGAATGTCGGACAACAACAGGAAGCTCAAAATGTCGGACAACAACAGGCAGCTGTCAACGTTCCACCAGAAAATATCGCTGAAGGTGTCGATGGTTTGAATTTGTCACTAAGAAATACCGAGGCTTTTCAAACTCAGGCAATCAAAAAGAGAAGTAAGTTGTGTCTCTGTTTTAACAATGGCGGTTTTAAGATTTGTAGACTATCAATTAGTTCTATTGGAAGCCCAACTAATCAGGTGTACTCCCGAAGTATGTGAACCAAGATGGCGGACACCGGAACGTAGTGTGTGTACCAGGTTAGGGTTAGGCAATAATTTCAGGTGAAAATACTACAGGAGTCACTTGGCTAGTCCCCGAATTCGTAACAGAACTAAAATAGGAAAAATTGAAATAAAATTATGGCCTAACCTGGTACACAAACTACGTTCCGGTGTCCGCCATCTTGGTTCACATACTTCGGAAGGACCTAGTAATTAGGCATACATATGCATTAATTTCATAAGCAAAGCCGCTCACAAAGTATTGATTTTTAGCAAAGAATAACGTATTAGTTATTATAATAACTTATTAGCGCTTAAAATAATGTTTTGATGGGGTTTCATAGCCACCGCCGAGTTGTAACGTTGAAGTATTTCGTCACGAAGCTGGAATTAGTCTTCCGATTCCCGTATTATGCTTTGTCTGGTCTGACGCGCAATGGCGCACAAGTTGCCAGTCGCGTATTATCTACTCACACCTGCTCGTTATGACACTTGGTAGAAATAACCCGAAATGTTTTATTCCCCGCCTGTGTCGCACTAAGAAAATAGAAGGATAATACTTTGATAACATTTCTCCCAAGGTAACGGTAAGAAGGGAAAACGCATATTTCCTGTCCAAGTATGTTTTCCCACATTTTGTTTACCGCCATTCGAGCGGAGGCACAAAAGAAATAGCTCAAATATTCATTCTTAGGAAAAAAGCATGATTTACAATTAATATATAATTCATATTTTTAACTCCGAGTCTGAAGCATAAATTGTCGTGAGTTTTCGGGTATACGATCCATTTAAAACCAAGTATAATAGAAACTCATGGAATACTGAATTGGCAGTTTAAGATAAATACGCCACACAACATCTAATTCTAGCGTAACGCATAAACGAGTGTTTGCCCGTAACTTGAAAATAATTAACTGCAGATCGGTAATATTCATTTATTTTTCCTTCTCGTTATTTGGAGTTAGCATAACCACATTCGGCAGATTGGACGCCGCCAATAACAGCGATATGAACAAATGTTAAATGTTTTTTTCTTCTGGATATCGCAATCTTTTTCTAAATCTGATTCGAATTGGTTCGAACGAAGCAATTCGAATTCATAAATCAAAAAGTGCCATCTGTACTACTGACATTATGCAAAATGACAACGGTGAATTACGTGTTAGTGCAGTGGGCGCTTTTCAAGTGGAACTCGAGAAACTTTGAATTATTGTAAAAATTAACTTTTGAGTTGGATAAATAATGGCGGCAACACCTCCTCTTTATCTAGTATACTGTGTTTATTCGCTGAAGAGCGGGTTTATAGCGTTATTGTCTCTACCGGTTACATTAGCGCCCTCGCGCGCTAATGTGCACATACGATCGTAAAACGAAACGAGCACGTTTTCGCCCGTTTTACGTGGTATATGCACAATGCGGTAGCGTTCGGTTCGAGGCGGTGTCCTGATAGCGCCTTGATACATCTTACGAATGTTGCTATTGCTACCTGTTGTATGAGCTGGCTGATCGGCAAAATTTTGAGTTTTATGCTTAAATAATTTAGAGACTAGGTCGGACAAGGCAGTTCGGGATGGAGGCTAACGCCGATCAAAGTGTATTCGTCCGAGTTTTCCTATGATTCCGTGATTGAAGTCTTTCATCTCTGTCGTAGACAACACAAATTCTCTTGCAATTTTGCACATAATTAATACGTTGTTAATGGATATAATTAAAATAAGTTGAAACTTTGCACGAAAGTCTAAAAATGAATGTAGATTGTAGAATATTCCCATAGAGCGCTTCTCGTGTCATCATTGTTCCTCACCCCAAGGGGGGTTTTGTCGGTGGCACGCAGCCGGAGTAAAAATCACAAAAGTGATACGCAGTCAGAAAAGGGTTGAGAACCACTGTGTTAGTGAAATCCGATTGACCCGATACTTGAAGCTATCCATACATTAATTTGGGTATAAATTATTATTGTAGCACTGATCTGTAGTCATCATGCCTTCTTTTTTCACTGATATAATTTCTTTTTTCTAAGATTTCCCAGGAGATGCAATAAACGAAATGGCTCGAAAAAAACAAAGATCGATACCATCTCTCAACATCGCAAAAGGTGGAAATAACCTTCTGAAGATTTCAATGCTTCGATGTAAGTAGGTAGTACGTAGAAATAGACCTGACAGCGCGGAAGAAATCTAAGACGGGAAGTCCAGAGTTTGAAAACAACCATCTATCCTATCATGAAATGCATATTTTGGATAATCCTGGCCTGGCCGCTGCATACAAACGGGTCTTTATGTAGAAGTCTTAAACTTTCGATATCAACACGGTAATTCTAAGTCGCTCGCTACTGAGACATAAAGATTATAAGATTCAAGACTAAGGATGCTAAGTATGACTACTTACAAGTATTCGATTCTTATCCGATTCCTAAATTTTCGATTCTTGATTCCTCCGCATATCTTACTGAGAAAACATACCCGCTGTAATCGAATTCAGACCCGATTCCGCCATCCCTACCCAAGGCGGAAACTTGATACGCGAGACACAAAAGCTTTTTATTCACTGATATAATTGGTTTATACAATCCAACACACACATGGATAATCGTAGGTTTCATTATACTAAAGATGAATTTTAGTAAAATTGGTCCGAACTTCTATTCCAGGCAGAGCAACAGCATTGATTGGACAAACTAAGTTTGATAAAGCAGCAACTCTACTTGAGGAACTTGCTAAACTGCAGAAATGTACGGAACTAGACACGGCACTTATGATGGTCGAATGTTATCTGCAACTTGGGAGAGAAAAGAAAGGTGAAAAAGCCATTGATGACGTCAGACTGGCAATCATGGCATCAGTTGTCGCTGATGACGTCAAAACCCTCGCGATCGATTTGATTTCGAATTCTGCTTACATTCGCGCTATAATATTGTTTCGAATAGCAAGTGATATCTACAAGGCTCGCACAAGATCACCCGATGATGTAATAAATGGGATTCAACTTTGTATCAGTAAGATAGATGATGCTACAAGGCCATTGATAGAAGCCGATGATCGATCTAAAATTATAGGAGTAGATTACGGCATAGAATATATGACAGAAATGCTGGATGATATTCGCGCAATAGAAAACGCTGATCCAGTGAATAAAGCAATACGAGAGGCTGAGTGCTCGAATTACATTGGATATAACTATTCACTGGCAGGTGAAAATGAGAAAAGTATAAAAATACGGAAGAGTGGACAGGAAATTTTGGAGAAACAGTTCGGGTCAAACACTTCAAAATATCAAATCTACGGTTTATTGCTGCATAGTATCGGTGCAGTGTATTATAATCTGCAGAAATATGCAGAAGCCGAACCTTATTATATCAAAGCCATTGATGCTCGTAAAAAGGCTTCAGATTATGAGAATGAAGCTGAGAGAAAGATATGGATTAAATCGTCGAAAACTTGGCTCAAGAAAGCTCGCGCACAATTAACCTGATATCCGCATAGCATATTCGCGGCAAATCGTAATTTACTAAAATTATCTCAAACACTGAATTAAATATTCAATATTTTATTTCATATTTGTTAAGTAATTTGATACTGTAACAAATAGCCAGTAGACCATTTACATCAAAATTATCAAAAAAAATAAATATTGTTAAAATATTTAAATTTCGCATTTTTCAATTATGTGTAATTTAATACTGTTAAAAAAAATCAGCAGTTTTACTTGAATAGACCGGTCATATTCATTCTCCATAATTTTCACTTTATCATTTCAATCACATGTTTTATGAACAGCCGACCAAGCATGTTTCATAGATAAAGCAATATTTAAAAATATTATCATCCATGGACTATACTTGATCGGGATCGAGTTCATTTTATTCAGGAATTCAACACAATTACTTTTAAATTTTGGTTGATTCATTGAATATTTTTAACATTGTACTCACTTTGTTGCAATGTCACACTCACTCATCTCTGGTCGAAGTTACAGGCCACTACTAAAGTGCCAAAAGCTACTGAAACTAGTTACAAATATGGTGGTGCATTATGCGCACTCAGTCATTGTTAAATAGATTCATTTCTAGGCAAAGTTATGGGTGACCATACCGATGCCAAGAGCTACTGAAATTCATTTTCCAATAAATTGTATCTCATACTGTTAGCATATGATAATTGGATTAAATTACTTTTCTGTTTTGTATTTAACAAGCATGAACTGTATATTGAGGGTCATATATAATACGTGATGCTTTTGTATGGGTGTGTGTACTATAGCATGTCATGATCTATACATAATGCGTGATTTCAAAATGCCATTTATATATGGGCAATGCTTGTTTAAGGGTAATTTTTCATAAGCTGTTGGAAATATAGTAACATTATCTTGCATTGTCGCGAGTTATGATCTGGAATAACTTGTGGACTGGCATTAACCCGAGAGTGGTGAGGCATTGGCCAAAGTTTATTTACGCTTATGAAACAATATTTCCACGATGTTGAGTGAACTTCATTTTATGAATATTGTGTTGTATAAATTTTTAATTGAACTAATTGGGATTGTTTTCTTTTATTGTATTTTATCTTTATTCCATTATGTCATGATCAATTTTCATCCTCTGAATTGAAGTTTAACGTACGTTTCAATTGTTTTAACGGACCTCCTGAAGTATGCGCACCAAGATGGCGCACAGCCTGAAAATAGTATGTGTGTGTACCGGTTAGGATTCAGATTGTGCGACATCTTGGTGTGCATACTTCAGGAGCACAGTTTTAACATTTCTTTGATCGAATAAAGGAGAAGAATCACTACATGTTTATATTCAAATATATGCATAACCCCAAGTCAACCCCAAGTTGGTAAAATTCCAAATTGAATGAAATTATCAAAAAATATTAGAAAACTAACTTGTTTTTGTTCATAATTATTATGTTTTTTGTTGATTCATTCTAAATCAATTGCTCATTTCATATTTTTGTTCTTTTTAGCATAATACCCATTACCCATTATATATTGTTATTTCATGGAAAAGTCTTCAGAAGCTTGTAGAATGCAGAGAAAGTAGTAAAAAGTTATTTCAATTCAACCGAATGTAAATACCAGTTATTTTGTTGTTTTTTCCACAGTATGATTCAAACTATTGAGTGATCTGTATATCCAACGGTTCGCAAATTTTATTTAAAAATATTTGAATGAAACCAGATTTTTATGTGGCGTTTTCATACTTCCACTCCAAACAAACAAGCTGACACTGTTAAGTGAGGAGCTGAACTTATTTGAAAAAAAAGGATTTTCCCAATTTGACATTTCCAACCCAATTTATTATTGGACTCAGTGAACGCTGATTTCACTCATCTGGGTTCAATGTTCTTATGGGATTCTGCAAATCAGGTGATGTTTGCAGGATGTTTTATTGTTAAATATCAACTCTGTATTATGTATAATATGCGTGAACATTATTTAGCAAAACTTATACGATTTTTCGTCCCGTTACTAATGTCCCTCAGTTTGTATGTATTCTTACCCACATTCAAATACGGAATTCTATATTATCCAGGCTCAGTGAACTAACATTCACTTATCTGGGCTCAGTGTTCAAATTCATGTGATGTTGTTGGCTGTTCATTTTATCGAGAAGTATCAACTCTGAATTATTAAGAATATGGAGCGATTAGAACGGACATGGGCCAAATCCGGCCCGTTGGATAATTCAATATGGCCCGCCTGATGATGCCACAACCAAACTCAAACCAAATTTTGATGTTTTAGCTAAAATTAACTCTAGGAATTTGTTAAGGTTGCGGTTAAATTTAGTTTTGGCACGAGGCTTATTGTTTCCCACTGTTGCTTTTGTAACAATGTAAATATTGTTCATAAAATGTAAGCTTTTACGTCACATCTACATTGCCCGCCAGTCTATAGGTAGGAAAATTTTTTGGCCCCTGGTTCAATAACCTTGCCCGCCCCTGGATTAGAAAGGTGGTCCAATTTATAGTTTTGTAGCATTACTAACGTCCTTTTTGTTTGTATGTTAATATTAAGATTCTTTGTAGCATTTACGTAGCTTATATAAGCGTTTATTGATTGATATTCGAACTTAGTAGATTTTCAGCAGAACAATCTCACACATTGCAATTTTGACAACAATTTAACGATTATTTAACAAGAAAAATCGACATTGCTACCAAAAAAGGACCCGAAAAATAAACAATGCTACTCAAAACTGTCTTAATATATGGAAATTGCCGATTTATCAAACTATAATTAATTCAAGAATTTTTTGTTAGAGATGGCTATAACCACTTTATACAAGAATTGCCGTTTGGTTAATAGATTTCTCATTAGAATTGCTAGTTTTCAATATTTTAGTTTTGATTTTAGAAGTAAATTTTCAGTTAAAACTGTTAAATTGTTTCCCATTAGTTTGAATCAAAATAATTTATATATTGAAGTAAATTGATTGCTCATTCTTAGTCACATTTACATGTAAATGCCAGTGATTTGATTGTATTTTTAACAGTGTGATTCAACTAAAATGTGATCTTTATCTTTATTGATTCACAACTTTCTTTTACACTTATCTGAAATAAACCAGAATTATAATCAAGTATGGCATTATATAATATCCATAGCTTAGCTGTACTAAGTGAACAGTGACTCTCATTGACACTTATCGCATATGGATACTTATTATCTATAGCACAAGCCCGTTTAGTATATGAGAGTATAAGATCTCGATACAAAATAACGTTGGTTGTCTTTCGAATCCTCGCGCGAGGAATATAGGTTGAAGTTAACAATATGAATGGTAGATGCATAAGCGCTTTAACATAATGCTTAATATATAAAGCGCGGTCAGCAGGGAACAAAATGTACTGAGTTTGGTTGGGTTTTAGTCAAAATGTCGCGGATTGACTTGCCGCTGGCAATGTAGCCTGAATATATAGCAGCATTACTCAAAGATAATAAACGCACCTAGACTGAACAAGTCTTGCCAAACGACCATATGTCGCCATGGTGATATCCTGAAAGATATTAGAATTTACAAACTTCGGTGAAAGCAAAAACTTAATTGTTTTTAATTCATCAAACCGTCTTAGAGTTAGGCCATAATTTTATTCCGATTTTTCTCATTTCAGTTATATTACGAGTTTGGGCACTGTCATTATTAGCCAAATGAATATGCCCCTGCCCATAGGTTTAAGTCCTTTCACACAACTTGATATAAAATAAGCGAACAAAATTAATCACCTCCATATTGGTACACATACTTCCGCTGCGTCAAAAAATGTTAGCGTTTTTTATCTTTACTATGCAATGCAGTCGTTTATTTCGAGATGAGCATATTGTGTTTATCATGGCAGCATCGCGAACAATGCAGATCAAATAATTTGAAACTACAACGACCCGGACTCAACCAGAAAGATCGGTATCGCGCATCTGAGTTGTGATTGCGAAGGCAATAATTTTAGGGTTCTTTATCGCCACCTCCCGCATATAGACAAAATATTTGAGATGTTCTAAACCTCATTTTTTTTTAATAACAATTAGAGATAAGATCTGAGGCCCGAGCCCGAAATTCGGGCCTGAAATGTCAATCATTACGTTTGGGTCGGGTCGTACTTTTGTTTTAAATATATATATGTTTATAAAAAATATATACTGAAACTATATGTGGATACTAAACCAAGAAGTACTTGTTATAAAACACAGAATGAAATAACAGTAAAGCCCAATCGGTACTGGCCCGGTATTCTAGCACAGTACACTGCCGTGAATGATGGGTACCGGTAGGACATGACACGCCATAGTAGTAGAAAACGTCTCACCTGACTTTCTTCGTGCTGGCTTCGAATGTTTATAGTAAATCCGAGAAACAAATAATCCTTGAGTGAAACCATTCTTTAATATGTGCATTATCAACACGATACGTTTAATCTAAAGCACAGCAAGTTGCCGACAGCTGACAAGACCTACCCTACGAAATTAATTGCCTACTGTTAACTGGAATTTATGGTTGCCAGGTATTAACCGTGAAGAAAATATTTCATTTCACGAAAATATGGTTATATTTTAAAATTCACAAACAAATTGTACAACGGTATACTTCTCCAACCATCAAATTACGATAGTCGTAAAATACGTCAATTAGCAAACAGAACATACCACAATTCATAACTATTGGTAGGTTAGATCGAAGCGAAATTTGCCGCCACAATCTACTAGGCTGGCGACATAGATTTGTAGCGGATCAGCTGTATAGTTTTCAATTATTAAACCTTTGTACAACTGCTATTGCGTAATATTTACGTGAGTTTATACAGAATTACCAGGGCCACCAAACCTCGTTCATGCTAGCAACAATGGCCGTACGTATATGTACTCTGCCTTGAAAAGTTAAACTTTTTTTTTTTGCAAGTACTTTCTCGCAAAGACCCATTCACACAAAATACGTTTTTGAAAAGGCACAATAGCGTAAAACTATGGACCTTTCCCCGACCTTTGACCCCCGGATAATTCTTCCTATACTTTACCATTGCAAAATTTTCGGGGTTATTTTAAGAGTGCTTTTGCGAGTTGGCGCCTGTAAAATGGGGTATGTGTTTCAAACCATCATTATGATTCATCGCATACAACAATCTTTTTTTTAAAAGTACCGGCAAAGAATTTCAGGCAGTCTATCACAGCTATTTCACTAATTTTTAATACTGCAATCAAATTAAAACTCCTAGGAAGACAGAGTGATCATTAAATTATCTGATTTATATTTAAGTTTCCACAACTGAAAACTAACGAATAGAGTTCAAAAACGCGAAAACGAGGTAATGTTTACAACCACACTTGAAAATCTGTCTGAGTGAGAAAAGTGTCTGAGCGGATGCAAAAAGGGGGCATTGTTACGTCACTTTTTGCATCTTGCTGATTGGCTAATGTCACGCAGTAAACAAGGATACGATGCTCGGGGAAAGGTCCATATTCTCGTAAAAGTAACCTTTGTGCAGTATTCGTAGTTGCATATCGTCACGCTAATAACCGAATTGCGTAAGACATTTTTAGCAGTTTTGAGAAAAATGTAAAAAAAACTTCCTAATGATATTGTTATGCCATTGAGAGTCAATAATTTGCCATGGTTCCATTTTTTTGGTCGTAGCCGGATTTAAGTTAATTTGTATGACGCAGTTAAATGACGTCATAATGGCGCACTGTGGCGCACTTACGCAGAAATGTGTCTATGACTTGGGGACATACGCAATTTTGCTACTTTACTATATGCACCAGTCAGTGGCGTAGCAAGACTCTCGTGCCCCCCCCCCCCCCCCCCGCAAAAATATTTCGTGGAAATTACCCTAAAAACTTTCGGCAATGGTAACCTAAAATTTGCCCATTATTTTGGTTACTTTAATTTTTTTCATACGTTCTTCCTCTTCTGCCCTTTTTCTGCATTTCTGTATGCCACTGAGAGGTTTTTCTTTCGACGTCATTCTGACAGCCTTCGTGATTTTGCCGGTGCGATCAAGCCACAAGACGTCGAAAATCGACGACTTCCTGGCATTGGTACGTAACAAAACGATTTGAGCAGAACTAACATCAACGTTATAAGATGTGCATTACTTGTTTTGCACTGCGGTTTTGGTTTGCGGCTTGAATTTCTAAATTCTAACCGCTTGGGCCCCTTTGCGCTGTGGGCCCCTCCCGCGACCGCGGGGGTTTGCGGGGGTGGATGCTACGCCACTGGCACCAGTCCTGAAAACTGAACATTCCAAAAACGAATGTAATTCTCAGTGTCTACAATGTCTAATCCCCAAAATAGCTAATCAGTTCCAATTACATTATTTTTTATGTTTAAAAATATATATTTCATCAATATAACACGTTCTACACCCACCAAAATAAGATTAGGATTAAATATAAAGAATAAAACAGCAATGCACCCAATACAAAAGCCAACCAAGGTGAATTGGACTCGGACAGTAAATATCACAAGTGCACGTCTTCCTATACTGTAGTATAAATTCAAATTATTACGCGTTAAGCTAGAATCCGAGATGCAAAAACTCGAAAATACTTCGCCGAGGTTATTTTGCCTTTGTGACGTCACAATAGTCCTGCAGTAACAATGATAATTCATTATGACGAAACAATTGCACAAATGTGGTTTCGGAATTCTTAAAATAAAATCTGAGTTAACAGACAGGTGCGCAGCATTACATGAATACCTATTTTATAAAAAAAAACTCAAAATCGCCGAAAATGACTTACGCAATTCGGCTATTAGCGTGACGATATGTACTTGTAAGGCTAATTTACCACATTCAGGGCGCTGCGAACTCCACTATTTTACGAAACTGATAAACATTTTTGTAATTTCTCTCGCTTTTGCAATCTTTCAAGCGTAACGAGGTACCATCTTCTTTCGTATTTCAAAACGATATATTTTTAAAACAAAATGGCGTCGGCTGCGCAGAAAACAACACCTCAGAATATAAAGCATGTTTATGATAAGAAATAACTTTATATTGCTGGTATTGAATATATATTTTTAAAAACGAATATAGTCGACTACCATGTCATGGCTAGTATCTTTGAGCTTGTAAGAATACGACTGCTATTCCGCCATTGCTAATTTTTTGATACGTTTCCTAATTCTGCTCAGTTCAGGTTAGAATAATTTATGTTGGGCCCCAGTGACTTTTGAACAAAAATGAGTCTTGAATGAATACGTGCGTGGCCGTGTGTATTTAAGCAGTCAATTCCAGAACTACAGAGGGACATAAAAAAGCCTTAATTTTCTAATTACTACAACGAAAATGAAGTAAATTTTTATATTTTGCCTACACTTGAACTTCTGTTTGTGTGTGATTGTACCAAAAAGATTTAGAAGTCTTGGACGTTTCACAGAAAAGTTATGTTTTGAGCGCTGCGTGTCTCGACAGAATTATGTGGCTAATAAATAAAACATGTTCATAAAGTGATAAGATAACCAAAATGAGAAATTTCATCCAGATCGAGAAAGCTGCTTCGACAGACAGGAGGACTCAGAATAGGGAACAACTAACCAGATCAGATATTTAGTGAGCTTTGCGAATAATTCAGTAAGTAATTCTTTTCGAACATTCACGGAGGAAGGTTTTAGGTAAATAAAGTACGATACCGTGAACGTTATTAATTTGATCCCTCGAAATATGTTGTCCACGGGTACGAAGAAATACTTCCACGCTATAGCTTGCCATGTACTTGCACACTAACACGTGAATTAACCTATATCTCTCAGTAATTATATTAGACTTGCAACCTGTCTCTTAATAAAAATGACGTGCAACCTGTCTCTCAATACTGATTCCGATATGAGCGCCAGTTTATTTATTGAGTCTTACCTGTTAGCGACCCATGTATATTAAGGCTGAAAAATTACTTCTATCTTAGACCGATTGAAAATATCAACACTGAATCAAAATCGGTGCTCCCGAAGTATGCGAACCAAGATGGCGGACATCGGAATGTAACATGGGTAACAGGTTAGGGTTAGGCGATAATTTTTTTCCAATTTTCCTTATTTTAGTCTTATTATCAGTTCGAAGACTAGCCAAGAGCCTCCCGTAGTATTTATACCTAAAATTATGGCCTAACCTTAACCTAGTACACATATTACATTTCAGTGTCCGCCATCTTGGTTCGCATACTTCGGGAGCCCCGCAAAATCTGATCCTGGATCTCGACATCATTGTCGATTAAAATTATACGAAATTATACGTAAGAGGTTCTTTGAGATATTTTTCAATGCCAGTGTCTTCGTCTATCTCGCCTTGTTCGGAGCAAAAGTAAGCGTCATATTACGTCATTATAATAACCCCCCCCCCTCGCTCAAAAAATCGGGCTGTCTACCCTCCTGTTTAAATGACTCATTTTTGACAAATTTCAAGAAGTGTAATTGATTATCTTTAAGCTGTTTATCTTGTAGTATTCGCGTCTCGCGTCAATCGGTAAAAAAACGCAAAATTCTACACTATATTTCTTTCTCGTCTCAGTTTTTGGCACTTGAATGGTCTCACATAACTTTGCTCAAAGAACAATCTCCTTTATTTAGAGTGATTGCGTGAGTGAATAAAACCTGCTAACTTCAAGTTCGGGCTCGCGAATCCTGGAACTTCTTCTTTTTATCAATATCGTTGTTATAGACAGAGCGATATAAGGAGAAAGGAATGTTTGCTCACTTTAGGAAGCGAAGTACCAACTATTTCTTAGTGAGGGCTTCAGTAAGTATCATGCGCCCAGTATATATATGTACTTCCTCAAGTTCGGGTTCTTCCACAGCATAATTTTTTTTATCGACACGTCACTATCACGTATATATATATTAAGAAATGCAGTGTGCTCCTTCAATGCTCCTCCAGTAGGAAATGCAGTGTTACGACATAACAGATTTTGTCTCGGTTGAACGAGCATTTCCCATATTTCCTCTACTCGGTGTAAAATGCATGAGTGTGCACTTGATGCGCAAGCAATACTTTCAATAGATATCACCACAATATATGACTTTAGTGTTTGACGTCGGATGTAGACTCGCCCTGCATTACTGGAGTTGAACAGTTTTAATCATACTTTGGATTTACGAAGCTAAAAAGTTGTTTCGAGAAGACTATATGGCTGAAGGCGGGCAGCAAAACCAACAGCATCAACAAAATGTATATCACATTAATATTTCCTTGAGCAATCCACAGAATCAGAGCGAAATTGTACAGTAAGTGACTTACTTGTTAAGCCTGAGCTTGCATCACTAAATTTATTATCTAGCATGCCGTTTCATAAATTACATAATTAAGTAGACTAGTGCGAGACACATGTATGAAAAATAGCCATGAAGGTATCTTTGACGAAGTGGGCAGAAGCTGATGCTTTTCTGTCCTATTCAAGTCTTCATCTGGTATTTTTAACTACTATCCAACTGGCATGTTTATTACGATGCACGTTTACTATTAATCAACGTTATGATCTTTGCTCCGAAATCGTAAGTGAGCACTTGGGTTTGGAAATTCCAAATTTTTTTGGATGGGGCTCTCAAAAAATAAAATAATCTTTTAATTAACTAAGCAGATTAACCCAAAACTCAAGTTTTTGAAAAAAAATCAAGAAAATAAAATAATGGTACGTATCTACTGCCTGTAACTAAAATTTAGTAATTTACGCAAATTTTGAAAAAATGATTTATGACGTCATCATATATTTCGCTCCATCGTCATTAATGAATTTGGTAGAAACCATTATGACGTCACCGTGAAACGCTCTCACATATGTAACAAACAGCTTGTTTTCTCTCTCATCGCCTAAATCCGGCTCTACTCCGCATCATATACGCGGTAACATATGGTCGAGCCAAATGTATGCTGTAAATGTACTAATGATACACACATATTATCATTGTCAAGAAAGCCAACACAATCTCTTATAATACCTACCGACTGGCTGATTATCGCCATAGTAGGCAGTTCCTCAAGCAGGTTTATTTTATTCAGAACAAGGACAACTGAGATTGCTGCGGGGGAGATTGGACAGATAAATATTCCACAGGCAGCTGAACAACAAGGTTCTCAGAATGTCCAACAACAACAGGCAACTGACAACGTTCAACCAGATAATATCGCTGAAGGTGTTGAGACCTTGAATTTGTCATCAATAAATCCCGAGGCTTCTCAGAGTGGAGCAATAAAGAAGAAAGGTGAGTTATATTGTGTGTTGCAGTGTGAACGTCTCTTTCGGAATAAAATCACGGGGACAAAAACACATTGTCGAAGTTGATACAACAAAGAGCAGTTATACTTGTTGGGGTACATGTCGCACATCTGTGTCCTAGGCCAGTAAGGTCTTGAACATGTATCCCGTCTCTGTTATACCGTTTGATTATTATGCAGATACTGTTACATTTTTGAGGCAAATAAACATACATATATAAAATTATCTTGTTAAATGCTCAGACGTATTATAAAGCTGTTATTCAGATCTTCGATAACCGAAATGTTCGTCGTTTTTCCATTCCGAACATAGCATGGCGCTTCCAGTATTTGTTGCGTTATGGGATCTTTTGCACAAAGTATCTCACCAAAAAATCATCCTCCGCCACCGCTTAAAATAAAACAAAATTAATAATTATTATTCGGTTAAGGAATGCAGATTGCACTCAAAATTCCAATTTTCGAATCATTTCCTACTTGAACACCAACTGCATAATTACTAATTTGTTATTTTGAAACGTGACAAGGGGTGTTTTTCAGATCTCACATTTTGCATTCGAGGCGAGGGATTTGTATAAAAGTTCCGCGTTATGTACCGGAGTAGGCTGATTAAAAACACGTCAAATTTCTGAGATTTTCAATAGCGTTTTTATTATGATATTCTAGCTCTGGTATCCTGTATTCAAGAAGCCATACATATACCCTAACGTCTATATCGGTATCGATGACGCACTGCGTCGCATTTCCTGTGTTTGTTTCATTGTACTGGGAACAACACTGGAACTTACAAAGCAATTTTCGATGGTATTTCATTTTGGACGTGTAATAAGATCATATCAGAGCAGTGTAAAATTGGGCTGTTTGAGTGACATTTCATCTATAGCCCTACCGCTACCTGACCATTCATCCATTATTGTTTTATTTCAAGGTCGAACCGGCTTCATGAGCTTCTTTACCAAAGAAAAGCAAAACAAAGAAAGTGGAAATAAGATCAGATCGATTCGACAAGGTTTGTTTGAGCCATTAAAATTAACAAAGAAAAATTGATACAAACAATGTAACTGAATTCATGAAAAGCAATTTGTAGAATGCCTCACACCTTCATCCGCTATTCACAAATGATCTGTGAGTCTGATTATTCCTCCGGTAAAACATCTTTTTCAAAGGTAATGCTTTGAAGATTTTTCTGTTTTAATGATACTATGAACTAAATTCAGAAAATTCCTTGAATAGGCAAAATTTGAAAGAGCCCAATGAAAATCCATCAATGTTCATTTTACGGAGTATGTAAATATTTCTACAGGCGATCTCAGAGTGCAGGATCTTCGAACGAAGACAGATAGAGAACAAACTCAATCTAACCATCCGCCACCTCGTACTCAAAATCTGAACCCTCAACCAAAACAAACTGCAGCCGTTCCACGTTATACGACCGCACCGAGTGTAATTAATGCTCCGAAGATTTCAATGCTTCGAAGTAAGTAAAATGTATTCCGTAAAAGGGAGACAAAATATCGTTAAATCTTTCACAAAGGCTGCAGAATAGAAGTCGTTTTTCGTCTTTAATTTGAAATCCGCGTTTCTTTTAAAACTAGGGAATTAGCGAATACCAGGTTATCGTGTAGTCGTCATTTTCGGACCCTCGAGACTTGAAACCGGAATTCTCGAGCCCTCTACGTTTGATGGAGATTCTTCCTACTTTACATCTCTGAATCCGACTACCGGTTGAGGAAAAATAAGTTGTGCATACATGATTAGAAGCCTGAGACAACTATACTAAGCTAATATAGAGAGACGCAGATGTAAATTAATATATACCTTCATGCGTTTTCAACTTGAACCCCAAAGAAAGCCTTTTAAAAGCAGCAACTGACACGCAATGCGATACTATTTTTGATGGACGAAATATTTTTGGTTTGCGGTGACTTGATTGGCACGCGGTTTGAACTCGCAATTTAAAGCGGTGGCGCCAACATAGTTGGGTTTTAAACAGTTGGTCATTACATTCAAGAATATTAAAATATACTGCTCAATGCGTTTCAAATGATACATATTTATATTTGCAAAATACTATTTTATTTTTCAAAAAGAAAACATAAAATATGAAAATTAAAACTTAAAATATGAGTAAGGTGGGAGCTAACGTTGCCGTTTTCAGATTAAACTTCTCGGGTCGAACCCAATATCCATCACGTCACCCAGAGCATGATACCTCCGAACAAGGCCCAAAACAACCAGCCACTGATACAGTGGTTAAAAACGCTATTTTCAGTAGTCATTCCTTCCTGCTATACATTGGGAGATACTTCATTGAGATTTTCAACCCACTGACTATTTTTTCGTAGGTTCAATTTATGATATACAGTATTGTATGTTCAGAAAAATCTTTCAAGTTATTCGACGAGTCTAAATATGAAGAAGCAGTCCCCATCTTAGAAGAACTGGCAACCCTACAAAACCATCAGGATTTCGATACAATACTTATAATGGCCGAGTGTTTTATACAACTTGGCAGAGGAAACAAAGCGGAAAAATGTATTGGCAATCTGCGAAATATATTGATGACGTCATCAGTGACCAGTGCTGATGACGTCAGGACTCTCGCGATCGATTTGATTTCAAATTCAGCTTACATTCGCGCTATAATATTGCTTCGAATAGCAAGTGATATCTACAAGGCTCGCACAAGATCACCTGATGATGTAATAAATGGTATTGAATTTTGTGCCCGTAAGACATGTGTTGCCACTAAGCAATTGATAGAAGCCGGTGGTCGAACTAAAATTATAGGAGTGGATTACGGCATAGAATACATGACAGAAATGCTGGATGATATTCACGCAATAGAAAACGCTGATCCAGTGAATAAAGCAACACAAGAGGCTCGAATTACATTGGATTTAACTATCACCTGGCGGGTGAAAAGGAGAAAAGTATAAAAATACGAAAGAATGGACTGGAGGTTTTGGAGAAACAGTTCGGGTCAAACGCTTCAGAATATCAAATCTACGGTGTATTGCTGCATAATATCGGTGTAGTGTATTATAATATGCGTAAATATACAGAAGCAGAATCTTATCATATTAAAGCCATTGATGCTCGTGAAAAGGCTTCAGATTTTGAGAATGAAGTTGAGAGAGAGAAAGATATTGAAAAGTCAAAAACTTGGCTCAAGAAAACTCGCGCAGAATTAACCTGATATCCGCATATCCCCTATTCACGGCAAATCGTAATTTACTGAAATTATATAAAACAATGAATAAAATATTCAAACCTTTAACTTACATTTGACGTGGAATTCGATACTGTAAAAAATATTCAACAGTTCTACTTGTATTTGCACCTTTACTTACTTACTTTTACCAGTGATATCATCAATTTATTATTTTTGAATGAATTATTCCAAATAGCACTTTTCATGGCTCATAAATAGCAATATTTCAGATGAACCATACTTGATCAAGCTTTGAATTCAGCTTATATAAATAATCAACACAATTACTTGTAAATTTTGGTTGATCCATTGAATATTTTTAAAATTGTACTCATTTTTTTGCAATATTACTCACACCCATCTCTGGTCGAAGTTACAGGCCACCACTAAAGTGTCAAAAGCTACTGAAACTATATAAATTTATGGTGATACTATATGCACACTCAGTCAGAAGTTAAGAAGACTCATTTCTGAGCAGTATTAGTGACCGCTGCGATGCCAAGAGTCACTAATAGAATTATGGTGGTGTATTATACGAAAATAAGAAATATTTTTTTTGTAATTTTATTTAAAACTATCTGTTCACATTTTTACAATTTCTAAACGAGATTTTTCTTTCTTTCCCATTAAATTGTATCTCATATCGTTAGCATATGATAATTGGAGTGATTCGATTTTGTTTTTTATTTTAACAACTGAACTTGACAATGTGGGCCATACATAATGCGTGATTGTAGTATGGTTTTATATGGGCAATGTATGTGTGTAGAATGTCGTAAACTGTCAAAAATAATGAAATATTTTGTTGCATTGCAGCGTTGTACTTCTCAGAATACCAATCTGGTGAACGGATTTACTTTTGCATTTGACAAGCATTAACTTGACACTGTTACCAAACATAATACGTTATTATAGAATGCTATTTATATATCGACAATGCTTGTTTATGGATATTTGTCATAAGCTGTTAAAAATATAGTAACTTTGTCTTACATTTTCTCATGATACCTCTCAGGACAACTGGTGAATGCCACTAATCCGAGAGTGACGAGGCATTGGCCAAGGTTTATTTACGAATATGAATCAATATTTTTCCGTGTACTTAATAAAGTAAACATTATTTTGTGAATATTGTGTTGTATTTATTTTGAATTGAACTAAATGTTTTCTTTTCAATGTATTTTATCTTTATTCCAGTATTTACGATCAATCGCAGTTTAACTGACATTTCAATTGTTTTGACATTTTTTTGATCGAATAAAGGGGAAACATCACTATATGTTCATATTTATATATATGCATAAACCCAAGTCGAATTTGGTAAAAATGCAAAATTGAATGAAATTATCAAAAAAGTTGGAAAAGCGATTAATTTCAAAAACTAGTGTAAATTTGTTTCCATTTCGTTGAAGCTTAATTGTTATGTTGTTTTGATGATTCATTTTCAAAAATTTTGCTCACCTTTTATTTTTGTCATTTGCAACAGAATAACCATTACGCTACATATTATTATCTCATATTGATAGAAGTGTGTAGAATGTAGAAAAAGTAATAAAGTGTTTTTTAAATTCCACCGAATATATTATTCAAATTTTGGTTTGAATTGATTTCTCTTTATTCACAATTACATGTAAATACCAGTTATTTTATTGTATTTTTCACAGTATGAATTAAGTTACAAAGTGATCTGTATATCTAACAGTTCGCAAATTTGTTTAAAATATTTAAATCAAACCAAATTTTTGGACCTCCTGAAGTATGCGCACCAAGATGGCGCACAACCTGAACTCAGGTTGTGTACCAGGTTAGGGTTCTTCTGGTTATGCGACATCTTGGTGAGCATACTTCAGGAGTACCAAATTTTTTATGTGATGTTTTTATACCTTCACTCCTAACAAGCTGCCACTGATAAGTCAGAAGCTAAACTTTTTTGAAAATATTCCCAATTTAAACATTTTCAACCCCATTTATCAGCAAACTCGGTGAACGCTGACTCCGTAACCCAGTGAAAGCTGATTTCGCTCATCTGGCTAAATGTTCTTATGTAATTTAGGTGATGTTTGCTGGGTATTTTATTGTCAAATATCAACTCTGTATTATGTATAATATGCATCAACATTATTTAACACGCCTTATATAATTTGTCGTCTTATTACTGATGTCCTTCAGTTTGTGTGTATTCCTACCCACATTCTTGCATAAGAATTATAATCAAATAGGGGATTCGGTACCATCCAGGCTCAGTAAACGGTCACTTATATTCACTCATTTGGGTTCAGTGCTCAAATTTGTCTGATGTTTGCTGTTCTTTTTATTGAAAAGTATCAACTCTGAATTGTGAGCAATTAGAACTTGGTCCAATTTATAATTCTCCGTCACCTTACCTTCTGTTTGTATATAAATGTATAAGCTATTTATAGCATTTACGTAGCTTATATAAGTGTTTATTGAATGATATTTCGAACTTTATAGATTTACAACAGAACAGTCTCACACATTGCAATTTTGACAACAATTTGACAGTTGTATAATATATGGGTATGACTAAGAAGAGATTCTCAATTTAGCAAACTATAATCTAAGCAAAATTATAACTGTTTGTTAGAGATGGTTATTGTATAATCCGTGTTTATTTCACCAAGCGCAAGTTTGTTAGCGTTTACACTTTCACCCCAGCAGAAACCACTTTATACAAGACTTCAGTTAATAGCTTTCTCTCTTTTGGATAGCTAGTTTTCTATGTAGCTTACAATATTTCAGTTTTGCTTTTTGAGTAAATTTTCCGTGAAAACTGTAAATTGTTCCCGATCAGTTTAAATCCCAATAATTAATATATTGAAGTAAATTGGTTGCCCATTCTTAGTCTCAATTACATGTAAATGCCAGTGATTTGATTGTATTTTTAACAGTGTGATTCAACTAAAATGTGATCTTTATCTTTATCGATTCACAACTTTCTTTTACACTTATCTGAAATAAACCAGAATTATAATCAATTATGGCATTATATAATAACCATAGCTTAGCTATACTAAGTGAACAATGACTATCATTGACACTTATCGCATATGGAATATGAATTGTAGTTATATAAGCGAATCAATATATAGCTTAATACATATATCTAGTGGTCAGGAAAAAATTGCTTCGACGCGGACCGACTTACCGCTAATAATATAGACTGAAGATATAGTAACATTACTCAAAGGTAATAGTAGATGAACCTAGAGTCCTAGACCGAAGGAGCCTTGTCAAATAACGCTGTGTCGCAATGGTGTTATCCTACATACTGGATATTAAATTTACAAACGTCGGTGAAAATAGAAAACCAGTTGTTGTTAATTCATTAAAAAAAATGAGTACGCCCCTGGTATGTGTACCAGGTTAGGGTTAGGCCATAATTTTATTCCGATTTTCTTATTTTGGTTATATATATTACGAGTTCGGGCTCTGCCCGTGTTAGCCAAATGAATATACCCCCTGCCCATAGATTTCAATCCCTTCACACAACTTGATGTGAAATAGGCGAACAAAATTAGTTACTACCATATTGGTACACATACTTTCGCATCGTCAAAAAATGGTATGGTTTCTATATTTAACTATATGCTATAGAGCAGTAGTTCTCAACCGCCCGTCCGCGGCAACCTTGCTGCCGGTCTGCCAAATATATTCCCATATTATTGTATTATAAGCAAATTGTAAAATACAAAGTATTGAGGGCATGTCCATTACTTTTGGTATTTTTATATCCTATTGATTCGTAGCACCGGTATTCGTCTAACAACCAAACTTAGTGAGAGGTCCTATGCCCATTTAAACCCTGAACAACTGGAAGTTCGCCTTTATGACCTCATAACGACGACTAACGTCATAACGGAGGAGTTTTCGCCTTGCAGAAACTTCATTAGGACCGCGTTTAACACGTATAATATCAAAACAAGAGCAGCAAATTTCTCATTAAATTAGAATGTCTTCTTTTGCACCACCTAATTGCATTCCTTAGATTACATTTTGTGTTCATGACATTTTTGAAGGTCCACCGGTCCGCAAATTTTTTTTTGAAATCTTACCGGTCCGCGAACTGAAAAAGGTTGAGAACCACTGATATAGAGTCCAAAAGATCTGTATCGCGCATCTGAGATCCATCCAAGGGTTGTAATTGCGAAGGCAATTATTTTAGGCTCTATATCGCCACCTCCCGGCATACTAACAAGTTATCTGAGATATTTCGAACTTCATTTCCTTATTTAACAATTGACCACATATGAATCCAAATTAGCATTAGTAGGCTACTCAGATAGATAACGGTATAGAGTGTTGCTTATTGTGGCTTACCGGAATTGATATCACCACTCAGGTTCTTTCTGCCAGCTTCTCGGCCACTGAAGTTGTAAAGGAGATAGATCACAAATGACCTTCTTGCCTTTTCGAATGCAGCAGAGTGACTGACTTAATTATAGCTAGATTAATTATACACCAGTAAGAACTTGATAAAGCCAAATACTCCAATCAAATATACAATAAAAATACAGTACTAAATACCATAGAGATACATACGGAACACAAGATACGGAATTGGCCTATGACGTCACAATCATGAACCATTGACTTATGCTGGGCGATAAAAACCGTGTGAATAAGAAGTATACACGAAAACTAGAGAATAGGGCCTTCGGCAGAAAGGAATATTTAAAAAAAAAACAGTTTTAGAATGCCGTTCTA